TATATATAATGCATAATATTTCATTGTAGGTTCCTAGATCAGGTGGTGAAAATCTGATTATTAGTAATATTGATTGCTTGGCCTGATTCTAACATAGAGTCATAAAATCTTTAAGGTTGGAAAAGACCTTTAAGATCATCAAGTCATGAGTAAACTGCTTTTCTTGCAGATAGATCATGTATATCTGAAAGATAATGACAGTAAAAGCTACTAAGATAATACAAATCTCTTCTGAATTCAGGGCCAGGACTGGAGGTAGGGGGAGGGAGTATCCCACAAAAAGAATGGAGAAGGTGACCTAAAACCCTGTGCCAGTGGAGATTCTGCCAGTGAACCTGAACCTCTCACAGGAACAATTCCCATCAATGGCAGGATTTCCTCTCATTTGCATGAGAGCAGCGCCAGGCCCTTGGTCTCCTCAAGCAATGTGTTATAGGGTGGACTTGGGGATCCTCAAGGATTTCCAGAGCACAAATTCATACCAGATAGCATCATAAAAGGAAGGGGAAAAGGAAGGCTGGGCCTACCAAAAGCACTGCTGAAAACTGTGGACAAAGGCAGGAGAAGGAATTCAACTGTATCCTCCAGACACACTGTGGAAGTGGAATTTCCCTTTCCACTGTCACACACAATAAGCCAAGGGCCCCTGTGGGCTGCAGATAACCCACCTTGTGCCCCGTGAGCTTTGCAGGTGTCAGCAGAACCATTCCAGATGCTGAGGTTGGGCTTGGGGAGAGAGGAGGATGCAGAGGATGCAGAGAAATGGGGACTTTAGTGGGGACAAAGCCAGGTGGGCTCCTGTGAGTTCGTGGAGACTGACAGGAGGCTTTTAAAAAGGAATGTGTGATAGAAATGGGGGGTCTTTCCCCTCAAATTTTAGCAAGAGGATGCTGGTGAAACTGGACAGGAGCAGAAGGGTCTTGATGACAACTAGACTGGGCCAATACAACTGACCTCTTTGGGTTTTGAAAGCGAAGATTTACAACATTTCTGGTTTTGATCTACCTTTAACTGTGATGGTGCTCTGTACCCCCTTGCATGTCAGACAGCAGTGTCAGGACAGAAGAACACTCTTTCCTCTCTGCTGGTCTTTGGGAAGGTTCACGTGCAATTTCTGCAGTGTGTCCCAGGTAACCTCTAAAATACCAGTCATTTTTCACTGTAAGTTCTGGACCTTCAGAGATAATACTTGAAAACACTTTCACATTCAGCTCCTAATCTTTCTCAGAGTTTTGCTGTCTGTCTCACACAAAAACTTATTGGTGTCCATCCACCTGCTTGACTCTGATTTCCTGGTTTTAAATATTTACTGGGATATTCTCAGAGTAGCAAAACTGAAGCGTAGGCGGTGTAGTGGATGGATAAGTTGCCCCTGTACCCTTCTCCTGTCTTTGCCAGCCCTGGAAATCACAGCTCTTGAACTGCTCCAGGCCCTGGGAACCTCCATGGGGTTTATTTAGCACCCAGAAGGGCTGGGCCCCAAATCTCACTGCCTGCCCAACAGATGTGTGTAGCAGCATCTGTGTTAAACAAACTCATGGCACAATTAACAGCCATTTCAGAAGTACGAGAAAACTTACAATATTCAGCAAAACCTTACATTCAAAATATAGCTACTTCCATTCTTGCTGGCAAATCTGAAATTCAGATGAAGGCGAGTGGAAATCAAGTGGAAGGGCAAATTTGTATTCCTGCACTGAAGAATTGCAAACAGGTGCCTCAAAATGTTCTATTAATTTTTCCCTATTTCACGGTCAGCCTCATTGCAGTGACTCTGAGATGGGCTCAGCTGGTGCTAAGAACACCAGGATCACGGGTTTGATCCCTGTGTGGGCCATTCCTCTCCAGCTCAGAGTGTGGTTCTGAGGGATTCTGGTTGAGTTTGGGAGGTGGGCAGAGTGTGCTGAGGGACCCACTCAGTGCAGGGGGCTCAGGGACAGCTCAGGGTGGGCTCTGGGGATGGGAAAGCCCTGGAATTCCTTTGTTTGGGGTCGCTCCTGGGAGGTAACAGCTTGGGCTGTTTCTGTGTTACCTCCCTGGGCATAAATAGCTTTATGGAATGAGACATCTGAGGCTCTGCCATGGGAAAAAGGGAGTGGAACCAGTGAGGAAACTGGTCTGAAGTGTGTGTGGGGTGTGGGGAGTCCAGCAGGACCTGCTGGCTCCTGGAGCCACTGCTGTGAAGGGGGGCCTGTCCCAGCAGTGCCAGTGCACTGATTCTGCACAGCCTTGTTCCCAGCATCAGCTGCCAGGATCCCTGGCTTTGCAGTGGGCTCTGTGCTTGGACAGGCTCTCGAGAAGGATGCCTGGAGGTTCCTTGGCAGCCAAAGTGGTGGTTCCTGGTTGTGAGCTGACACCAGTGTTCTGTGCTTTGTGTCTGCAGTGCTGATACATCTGCACTTGGCATGGAGTAGATGCTGAACTGGGATCCACAGGGGGATCAACCAAACTCTTGTCACAGATCAAACAAGGATCCAGCTCTGGGCTTGCCAAGGTCTGTTCTCCAAGTTCAGACTCTGCTCAGCTCTTCAAAAGCACGTGTGGGGAATTTTTCTAGTCATTGTGAGCTGGGCATCTCTGTCCCACCAATCTCCAGTTTACACAACAACCATTGTCTGCTGTGTCCCAGGGTAGAATGGAAACCAGACACATCAGGGCTAAACTTGGAGGGGTTTTTGGTTTGTAAACCCACAAAGACAACAGGGGGAAGGACATTTGTTTAAGAAAAAAATTACACCAAAATAATTTCATGTCCAATAAATTTTCTCACTACAACAGGGAACCTCTTATTTTGTTCTTGGCACTAACATTTGAAGCTCTGAATTAAACTTCTAGAACCTGAGTAAAACCCAGACACATCATGAGGTGCCTTACAAAAATCTCAGCTGCTTGAATTAATCCTTTATCTCCATTCTGTGAACCTCTGATTTTTTTTAGACAATATAAAATACCGCCTGGCTTGATTTAAACCTGTAGTTCTTTAGACATATACCCTGATAAGAAAAAGCAATTTTAAAAAAGTTTTCCTGTTTTAAATTTGAAATATTAATTGAAGTATTTGATGTACAGTGAAGTCCTTTGTTCCACAAGTGCTGTAAATCAGAGCAGCTTCCAAAGCCCAGGATTTTTGCCTGTATCCTGTTTTCAGAGCAGTTTCCCTCAGCAGAGGCAGGACGTGAAGCAAACCTGGCACCAGACCTGTTAACTCTGCTCTGCCCCAGCTGCCTCTGCAGCACTGAGCCCCTCACCTCACACCCTGCAAGCTGCACCTTGCTGAGGGACATGGATCCCTTTCGTGGCACGATTTCAGCATCAGCATTTGTTTGAAAATGTTTGAAAAGCACTTCTATGTTCTTATGTTAAAGCAAAGCTTTGGGAAATTCTTCTGTGGCAATGCAGTGCAGCTGTAGCAGCCCGAGAAATAAAGCCAGGTTTGTGGGCAAAGCAGGAATGATTTGTTAATTGAGTTTATCTTTTGCTTTCACATTAATTTGTTTTATCGTTTGTAATTTCACATTCTTCTCGATGGTATACTTCCTATTCTAAGGCTTTCATATGCTAAATTAATCCAGTGTCCTTTTTCTCCTGTGGGTCACCCTTTATTTAAGGATAAAAAGTCCCTCCTGGAGATACTGTAGATAAATTGTAAGTCAGCATTTCTGTGGACTGTTGTTACAAGGCACAAATTAACCTAAGATGAGAAGCTTTTGTAAATCACTGGAGCATCCTTGCTCTTGTCTAATATTTTTTCCTGCATGAACATCTGTGTGCTTTTACAAATGCTGATCTGATGATCTATAATCAGTGGAGGCAGGGACACATTGATTAACTATGCCTTTGTTAACTGCAGTAGCAGCCAACTTGGGATGTCTTTGGTAGCTAAGAATGCAAGAGATTTTCTCACAGAGATTCATCTTCTTCTACATTTTTTTCCTCGCATTTCTTTTCTACCTTTATCTTTATTACAGTGACAACCAGCACAGTGAGGGACTGTGCACACTGACAGTCCCACCATTACAGAATAGAGTTCTTACAAAAAAAAACACAATCAGTTCATCTCTTATGCATAAATGCTTTGTCTCTGCAAGCTGTTCAGCGAGCCTGTTAGTTCAGGGCCCTGTTACAATAGCTTTAGGATAAGATAAAAGCCTTTTCCACCAACTTTTTGTATCAAGCCACTGCTCGTAAAATACCTCATCAGAAAAAATAGGTCTTTTTGGACCACTGAGATCAAGAAACCTCGGAAATAAGAATTCCTGGTCTTTTAAAGCCATGGCACCTGAAAGACAGATACCAAGACAACTCCCAAATTTAATCACAGAGTCAAAGAATGTGCTGAGTTAGAAGGGACCCACAAGGATCATCGAGTCCAACTCCTGGCCCTGCACAGCCCCATCCCCAAGAGTCACCCCCTGTGCCCCAGAGGATCATCCAAACCCTCCTGCAGCTCTGGCAGCCTTGGGGCTGTGCCCACTGCCCTGGGGAGCCTGGGCAGTGCCCAACCAACCACCCGTGATAAAACGTTACACCAAATCCTAGCCCAGCACACACCTGCTCCCTCCAAACTGTTCTGGACCTGGAACTGTCCCCACCACAAGGGAAATCCTTTCCTAAAGGGTTTACAGGTGCAATTTGTAGGATCATTTCTGTCCCTTTTCCGTTGTGAATACGCATTGGTAACATAATCTAAATAGTCCTCCAAAAAATCATGAAATGTCTCTTCTTTTGAACACTCTGGGAGTATTGTGTTATAGCCCAAGAAAACCAGAGATTTTCCCCTTGCAGTGTCAACTGTAAACAGCTCTGCTGTTGTCTACACTTGGTGTGAGTGCCCTCAATGTGAGGCCCAAAGGGATCTGTGGATATATAGAAAATTCACAGCCTGTTTGCTGGTATTTCTTAAACTATTTTACACATTAGAAAATAATTCTGGTGGAGCTAAAAAAACCTTTGCAATGAACTTCACGGTTGAAGGACAGCAACAAACATTTTTCTCTTACCTGAGTCAGAGTTGGCAGAGCTTCGGCTGGTCCCCAAACCAGGCAAGCGAAGATCAGCAGTATCCCAAAATGTGAAGCAGTACACAAAAAAATGAAGATCAAATAGCAAAATCCACTTCTCTTTTCGTTAAGCAATACTGGGAGTGTTCAGCTCTCCAGTCTCCAAGGTTTTTCAGCTGGGAGTCAGCCTTTTCCCACCCTGCATCCCGGCATCCTGTTATTGTTCCAAGTTTTAGCAATACAGTGAGAAAAGGGAGTGGAGGAAAAGGAAACCAGATAAACTTAGCCTCATTATTGCTATATCTACTTATTTGTTGCTGACTCTAATGAGGGAGCTGAATAAAAGGAAACTGGCTCTGAGAGAAACACCAAAGTTGGTATGTTATTTAGCATTGTTTTAGAAAGAGCTTTAGGAGTTGCAAATCTGAATGGTACTTTCAGTGTCTGATATTTGATCGGCACAAACTACGTCTGTCTTGAACAAACAGGATTTTCAAAGCAGTTTGGAGGATTTTTGTACCTGGAAGCCAAAAAGGTAGAGCCCTCATAGGAATGAGACTGAGTTCCTCTAAGGCTCTGAATATAAAAATGGAATTTAACAGGATTTTTCACAGGTAAAGTGAAGAGCCTGGGAGCAAGACAGTGTAAGTGGGCCTTCCAGAAGGAGAAAATATATGCAACATCTTGATTATGGTGAGTTTTAAGTCTGGAGACCACTCAGGGCAGACAGAAGGGAAAGCTTCAGCATTTGGGTTACATTTCTGAGGGTGACTGTGGGGCAGTGGCAGGGGGAGAAGCTCACCAGGACTCAGGTGCTGGTGTCTCCTGATGGACCAGTGGACTTTTCTCCAGCCTGTGCTGAGTGCCCAGACCCTTCTGTGGGACTGTGATGGATCCTTCAGAGCCCCCTGCCTGTTCCTGACCCCTGTCTGCCCGTTAAACTGAACACAAAGGTCTAGCTCTGGCATTGTGCAGTACAAAAGGAAGAGGAGTTTTTTTACTAAATAATGCAGAAGAAAACTGAGAAGTGTGGGACTTAACTCAAAACTCATGTTTTTGAACCACTTATAATAAATGTAGGCAAATGTTCAATGTTAAGTGGGATTTAATAATTTTAATTATTAAATTAAATTAAAGTTTTAGTAATGTTCCACAGTTATATATTCTCTTGCTCCTATTTGTCATCACAGTCCAGCACAGGTGGTGGCATTGATTTCCCAGCTTGCCAGAAGGCTGAGGTTGGTCAGATTGTTTCACATTTCTGGATTGTACAGCAGCGAAGGTGGATGGTTTTTTTAAAAAAAGCTACATCAATTATTCAAAAAAAAGTTAAACAAAAAATGAAGTGACATTTTTCAAAGCCTTGTGCAAGGAGCCCAAGCAGAGTCCAGCTTCCTCACACAAAAAGCAGCCGTTGCTGTGTCCGTGCTGAGCGAGGAGCAGGGAGGATGTTGATAGGAGTTTTCCAGGGAAGCTCAGCTATCTGATCAGGATGCAGCTCCCTGATAATCGGGTGCCCACAGCAGACAGCGGGCCCAGATATGGTTTACCCTTCCAAAGCATCCACAACTGTCCCAAAGCCTTTGATGTCCCTATCTGTGGGCTTGGGAGCTGCTCAGCTACTCCAAACAAAGGACAAGGGCAAGGGAAGGGAGCTCATCATCTCCACTGCTCAGAAAGGAGAAGAGGAAACCCCAGTCAGTGTTCCACAGAATTGTATTTCACAGAATATTCTGACAGAAAAGGACCCACAGGGATCATCAAGTCCAACTCCTAAGTGAAAGGCTTGGACCCACAACCTCGGTGTCATCAGCACCCTGCTCTAATCACTGAGCTCATCTCCTGCCCTGAGGCAAAGGGCCAAGATGATCCAGGTCTGTTTTGACACCTGCTAAATGAGCTTTGTATTATCTGATTTGTTTAATCTCTGCTGAAAAGTTCAAGGAAACCAGTGAGAAAATTCCTAAAGACCTTTTCACATGCTCTTTTTCAGAGCTCAGTAGAATAACTGAAAACCATTTATAAGCTTCGAGGAAGACACTTTCACTGAAATTTTAGAAACCTGATTTATGATCTAAACCCTTCCCCATTATGCTTTATAGATTTCATCTCTGCTGAACTGGCTTTTTCTGACTATGAGCAAATGTCCACTGAGATTTTATGGAATGAAGAACCCATCCTTGCAGCCCATTCCAACAGGCTGGTTCAGAGCACCCTGTGTCCTTTGGCATTTGCCCTGCTGCCCCTCCTAGGCAGTGACTGTCACCACCTTTCAAAGCTGCTGACTCAAAATGCTGGCAGGCAGGTTTGCTTGGAGGGCTGAGACTTTCAGATTAATTTCTCTTTATCATTAGGACCAAAGCAATAGGCTTTGGAAAAACTCCTTGATGGCTGGTGTCTTTTGCAAGCATGGGGGTAATGTTTTAAACCATCTATTATTAATTCACACCAAGTTCTGCTACTGAGAAAAATCCTGTGCATGATCAGACAGCACTGGCAGGTACATTTACCTTTTAGGTACCTCATTTTGTGAATGAACTCTTAACTTGTGAAAGTGAAGGGAACAGATAAAAAATGAATAGGAACCTTATCATCTAACAACTTTCCACTGGCTCTGTGAGTCGTAGATGGAGACATGAAGGCGGTGGCACAAATAAAAGGAGAGATAATTCTCTACTTGGAATTTCACAGTGTTTTCCTCCTGCTCCCTTTCCCAAATGACACCAGACCTTCTTCATTGGTCAGTTCAGGGATGCTGTATGAGCTTTCCATGTCATATCCACCTGCCCCTACTGGATCATTTGCTTCTTTCCGTGAGCTTTTCCCACAGATGTTCATTAACTGCTGTTTTGGGACTTTGTGGCACATGGCTTAGATCTGTCTGGTTCAGATCAGCATCTCCTCCTATGGAACTTTATGATGCCAGCCTGTGCTGTTTAAATGCAGGTGTCTGAGCAATCTGCCAGACTACTTATGCAAGTAAACTTTAAAATAGCCTCCCCTTTTTGAATAAGGGGGTAAAACTCAACTCTGCTTTGAAGGTGCTTGTGCATAGGTTAAATTTGACATTTCTGGGAATCTAAGATAATAACTGTCATCTTGCTGCTGCTGAGGGGAATAATGTGTTATACTGGGCAGAAACAGAGCCCTCATTCACTATGCTGAGTCTGTGGAATCTGCCTGCTCTCCCTTGCACAGATCCCTGTGAGTGGGTTAGGGCAAGTCAATGGGATTGGTAACTGCACAGAATAAACGGGACACTGAAACTTGCATCTTCCCTCAGAATCACAATTCATCTGCTGCTGAGGAGGCTGCTCAGGTGAGCTGAAGCTCCAGTTCATCACTTGCAGCCAGGCAGGCTGGCCCCAGTAGTGGTGGCTCTTATTTACAGCTGGTTTCAGGTTCTCACTGTAGTACTTGTTCACTGTCCCCTCTGATCAGGGTCTGTGGAGTTCTCCTCAAAGAATTCATGGAAACCACAGCTGTAGGAACACACTCATTGCTTCCCTAACCACCACAAATCCCAGCAAAGTTGGTAAAGCAGCCCATGCCTTTTTTTTTTTTTTTTTTGGCAGGTAATTCCAGTTCTAGTGAAATTCCACATGATAAATAAGCCCTTCTTAATAAGCACAGTCATCGAAAACAACGACAGCTATTGACACAGCTGCAGCTAAGGATCTTTAATTCTCAAAAGCAATGTCCTCCTATCTGACTCCCTGTGGGGAAGGGCTTTACCCTTGGCAATACAGCCCAGGAATGCTTTTGTAACAGTTTATGAAGGTGAGACCTAGCAGTCAGTCTGTTAAACTCAGCCTCTTACAGGCACTGGCCAAGCGAAGGTCTGCCAAGATCTGAAATTCAGTCACAGCAGTAACACCATGTCAGTGCTCTTCTGACCAGTCAGGAATTATGGGAGAGCATAAGCTTTCCTTCAGTTATAAAAATAAACCCCAAATGCTCATTTTGAACAGCTCAGATAATCACGGTGAAATCCCTCCCATTTGAAATGTGCACTGTTGTCTGAGGGCTCTCTGGAAGAAGCATTACTTAAAGTTTGAAAAATAACAATTGCTGCTCCATGTGGAAAGCATAATCTCTGCAGCATGTTGTGCTGTTATTTCTGGGCCTTTTAATCAGGGCAGTGCAGTGCTCTTAGTCATTTCCACCTGGTAACTGGTTTCCTTTTTGTCACAGCTTGAGGTGTGTATCCTGGAGGGAGTCTGACTCAGCTTCCTTTTGTCAGGTTTGTTAAACAAAAGAATGTAGCTCTGTTTTTATTCTTTTGAATTTTTTTATTTTATATACATATATTTTTTTTTTTAGTATAAATTGTACTTAAAATCTTCTGAGGAATTTCTGTTAAAGCTGGTGGAACTGGAAGCTTGCTGGGGATATGTAGTAGCATTTTCTGAGATGTTTCCAGAGCACTGTTATGGCTGTACCCTACGCATTTCATTAAATTAGATCTCTTGTGGAAGGGTCAACCCTGTTCTCCCTAATCAGGCAAATCTCTCATCAAGTACGAGACCTCTGGCTGCATAAAGACTAATGACTGCAGGGTTTTTTTTTTTCTAAAATGTTCAGCAGGGAATGATCCCAAATGATCTTGTTTACTTGTTTGGAAATGACAGGAAAAAACAGATGGTAGAAAATGGACCTGCTTTGTAGGAAAACTCCGCAACGCTGAGCAGGAGCCGTAAAATGGAACTGCGTCACCCGGGAACTGAGAGGAAGGAATCACAAACCCCTTTGATTTGGGCAGTCAGGACACAATCCACAGGAATCTGCAAGGAGCAAACCTGCAGGCTGGGCGCCCTGACCTTCATCTGTGATTTCAGTTGGAAGAGTGGGTCTGGTGCAGAGGTGTGCTAAAAAATTTCCACGGAGGTTTTTGACAATCAATCTTGATTTCAGTGAAATCTTTTTCACCCAAAGAACACATCTGCTTTAATTGGCATGTCTCTTAAAATAGGACCCCAAACCAACACAATCTCTTCTTCCCCCACTTAAAACTGATGAAAATCATCACCTTTGATTCGTTAACTCTGCTGGTTGTTTGTCGAAGCAGCCCAGCTTCTACCTCTGACTGGTAGCATAAATAGGAACCTCATGTTTTGGTGTAGAAGAGATGAAATGAGAGGGATAATATCCATCCTAATTGTTGGTAAAGTCTGCAGTTCAAACACTCTTTATGACTGCGGGATTAAT